AAATATTTACTTTATTATATAAGATAATTTTTTTTAATTTAATCAAAAAATTAATTTATTATTTTTTTAGGTATTTATGCTAGTTGAAGTCTCATTTCTACTTAACCATCCTTTTTTATCTCTTGTTTTAATACTATTCTAAACAAATCTAAAAATATAAAAAATCTGTATATAAAATTTGTAAATTATTATAATTTAATTTTTTTTGAATTTATTATAGATTTAGTATATATGATAAAATGATTTGATTTTATAATAAATTTTTTGTAAATAAGTATCTTTTTAATAATTTTATGAAAAATTTATTATATATTATATTTTAAATAAATAGTAAGAATTTTTCTTTAAAAACCTTTAAGTAATCCAATATTTTATAGAATCCTAGAAGATTTTTAAGATTTATTAAAGAATTTTTAGAGAATTCATAAATCACAAATCTTTAGAAATTCTATAGAAATTTATGAAATCTCTATAGATTATAATCTTTAGAATATTACTAATAAATTATAACAATTTACTACAATAATACATTAATAATATGATATAAAAAAAATATAATTTATATATCTTAAATTTTCTCTTTATCCTAAGAATTAGAACTGATTTTGATCATTTGAATCACATATTAAATAAGTTTGACCTAATTTAAGATTTAATAATTCCAGATATCAGATTATTTTAATATGTTAAATAAAAACAAATTTCTGAATGCTGAATGCCATATAAATTAAATATGCTAATTAACATATTTATCATAAAATTTTATTTTTAGATAAATTAATTGAATTATTCATTACAAATATCAATTTTTTCCTTTTAATAAGCTTTTGATTTGTTTAAAATTTAAATTATAAAAAATATTCTACACAAATAATTGCTGAAATTTTTTATTTGATTTTTAATTCATTATCAAAATTTATATTATTTATTTTTAATTAATAATATTTTTATTTTCTTTAGTAATATAATCCTTTAATAACAGAAATTTCTTTTGATAAAGAGTAATTATATATAACAATAAAGATTAAACTTAAAATATAAACTTTTAATATTATATAATTTTGATCTGAAATAATTCAGATATTTAATATAAAAAATGACAGATAATAAGTTAAAAGACAGTTACAATTTCTATTATAATCACAAAAAAAATTTGTTTCCTTTTTTTGCTTATCATTCATTTATATTTTTGTAAGAATACCAAGAATTTTATTGTAAATATTCCTTTCTTTTTTTAAGAAAGTTGAAAGTAAGATATTACTTCACTAAAAAGTGAATAATTTCCAGCCATAAGCTATTACTTTAATATTGTTCTTGATGATAGTAATTTTCTTGATTTTATTATTTTCTTTCTTCCTATCAGTTCTCTCTCTTTTATCAATTTTTTTTATCTTTTACCTTTTATATCTTTTTTTTTTTTGTTTTTCAATGATTTTATTTACCAAAATCTTAAAATCATTTTAAATACCATTACTTTATCATCATACTTATACATTTCTTTCTTGTATAAAAGAAAACAGTGTAATCATTGTAGAAAGACGACTTTAGTGTTTATTCTTCAGAAATATCCAACCTTAATCATTGAAGAGTAACGACGATACTTTTTCTTGTTTATTTACTTTAATTCTAAATAAAGTGAGGTTGTACATATCATTAAGATATTTATATTCTTGAAATTAAATACATTTTGAAAAATACTTATTATTAATTAAAGAATCAAATTTTTTTTTTATCATTGAATAAAAACTATATATTTGTTTACGCAGTAAATGTTGGTGTTGTTTTTGGAGAAATATACTTTTTGTGAACAAGTAAATAAATTCTTAATCAAATTAATCAATATTAAAGAGGGGTTTAACAAAATTTCTCGTAAAAAAATATATGATGCAATTACTCAATATTCTCAATATAACTTTCCTACACTTTATAATAAGTACATTATGAAGAAAATTTGACGGTTATAACCTAAACTTTGACAACATAAACGGTTAAAAAAAATCAATTTGTTAAGTATCAGTAATTGAAAGTTCAATATCTCTTTAAGTAGGAATTGTACATACTAATTTACTTTATTAAAAAAAGGTATTATGTATTTAAAATATTATACATAATTTTAGCATTCTAATCTGAAATGAATAGATATTATAAAAATATTATAATTAAATTCATTTTGCAATACAAACGATAATTGGCAATTTAATCAAATAATTACTTGTGCTTTATTACACCCTTAATGATTCATAATTTTCAATCTATTTTCAATATTTTTTTCAAAGCATCCCCATATTCAGTAACATGTCTCTGCAACGTACGATTTGAAGCTAAAATTTAAAATAACAATTGTATTAGGAAATAAAGTATCAAATGAAACAATGCTCAAAAAAAAAGTACTTACATAAAATTGGTAAAATCTCTTTCAAGAGTTGTCGTTTTGACATACCCTGAAGAATATAAGTAAAAATCAGTTCAAATTGACAATTTAAATTAGAGAAAATAAATTTACGTTTACTATAAAGTTACCATAATGAACGGATCCCAATTCGATAGAATTTGATTGTTGGTATAACTATCTTGTCTAAATCATTTAAAAAGAACAACTTAGAAACCAATAACACTTCAAACGAAAAAAACAATTTAGACAATTAAATTTCATACCCATTAACTGGACCGAGTAACATCATACAAATTTCATGTAACCTAAATTCGGCCCCTTCATCGGCCAATTGTTGCGCATAAGCAAACAATAAACGTTTGTACTCTGTAGGAGAGTTAACCATCTCCGCAGAAACAAGCTGATTCTCCAAATGTCCAATTACATGAGCCTTCCCTTGAGTATCCTTGCCTCCGGGATATCTTAAATAGGCCAATGATCCAATATTTCCACCACGTTGCCTTGCCATACTTTCCAACGAAGCTAAAATCGAACCATCAATCACTTCGGAAGTTTCTGAATTAGAAGGATCTTGAGTTGAATAACGAGGATCATAGACTCTAACCCAAGTATTCATATCAAGATGATAACTCCATGCTTCGTTCAAACTTGTTACTAATAGAGGTACACCATTAGGCCTAACGCATGCGGAAATAATTGAAGCAGCGGAATGAAAATCTTCAGCTGATAAGGTTGCGGCCTGGAGAATAGGTGCAGTAGACACGGAACCAACGATCGCTTTTAGATTCCTTAAGTCCCTGAAACGATGAGATAATTATTTATTAATTCGAATATATTAATAATAATAATAATAACTTTCATTCATAACTCACCAAATGCTTATTAAACCAGTTTGTGTTATGCAAAGTAAATATTCACGACAAATTTCTAAAAATGACGCGGCTGATTCAAGCATTATAACCGGTAATAATCTGTCGAAATAAAGTGGAAATTGAATTAACGATTCTCTCCGCGATCTACAATTATAACAATAAACCAATATTTTAACAACCTTCTTCCAGCGCTAGAATATATGAATAAACTACCATCTTCACAGGCGACAGCGGAATATTGAGAATGTCCCGTTAAAAGTATAATTGAACTCGGTACATAATCTACCCAAACCATCACCTTACCACGGGTACACACTATTTGTGATGGACCTACATTAAAGCATTAATATTTTCTGTTAACAATTTTCTATGTCAAATTGAAATTAAAAAAGTCAGACACATCTGATAAGTAGACGAACCTTTTGCACTATTGTTGAAACACTCCAACTTTAACGTTGTACCATCGAGACGTTCTTTGGCGAGATAATCTTTAACTTTGTGAGAAGCTAGCCTCACCTGTGACATTGTCACTGATGGTGGGACTAATCCTGATCTTAAGACATGACCCTCGGTTTCTATTACTGAATCAGTTCTTGATTTACCAAAAGACTGCCTCTTGTTTGACTGAGAAGCTATCTCTGACGCAAATGATTCTTTCCTCTTATTTCCAATAAGTAATGTAGGTATTCCACCAGCAGGTAATGAACGAGAAGGTGCATCTAAACCACTCGATTGATCCAAAATCAAAGGTCGCTGCTGAAACTGAGAAAATACTGCAGCACTAGAAGAAAGATCACCATTCATTGTTGGAGAACTAATATTGCCCTATTATGAATAGAATAAAATTAATTAGCGCTAGAAATATATTAATCAAATTCATATAAAATTAAATATCACTGTTGTATATGTACAGTTAGCATGGGTGGCCGTAATGGAGCTCCAGGAGACGATGTAAGCCTGAAAATTAGATATAGACATGTTGTGTTAAACATTTGGACACTCCCATGATTTACATAGTGATTTTCACCAGCAGAACGTATAAAATATTTACCCTCTTATAAATTGGGGTTGTATTCTTTTTTTACCATCTTTTGTGAGAGTAATGGTTTGTGATGGAGCTGATGACGGCGATCCATAATTTCCCTTTTTATCGACCGTATCAGTAATTACCATAGGTTGTGGAGATGGTAATTCTTGGTTATCACTCATAAGAGCAGCTATTCTACCTGATGACGAATTTTTATTTGCAATAGCTAGAGCGCCCTCCATAGATAGTTGAGTTGTATTTTCTAATATAATTGGATCTTTCGGCACAAATCCATATTTGGCCAGAATTTTGTCCTATTATTTAATAAAAATATTTTATTTGTAAAAAAAAAAACAAAAAAAAAATATTTTTTTTTCCAAAGCAAATGAAAATAACATTGTACGACTAATTACATGTTCTTCCATTGACAACCGTGTTCCAAATTCATTATTGAGAAATTGTAAGACCACCACCGTGCCATCATACGAACAAGCGTAAAGATGTGTACCATCAGGAGACCTAAATTAAACATTTTTCAATCATTATGACTGCCAAGATAATGATCACAAAAAGCTTAAAGTGTTACCATGCTAGATCCAAAACGCTATGATCAAACGGTTTTTGACAAACAAATAAAGGCCTTGCATTCCGAGTCACCCACACAGAAATACTGTGATCTTGGCTTCCAACTGCACATACGCTGCCAACACTTGCAGCTTCGGGAGATTCCGGGTCTGCATCATCACTCTCGGGTATCATGAAGATAACTGGATTGAACGACTATATTATACGGAGATCATCAGAACAAGAGGGATTTATCTTTTATTAAAAAAAATAGCAAAGGATGTCATTAATACATACCACCACCTCAATAGCAGAGTCATGACCAACCAATGATACATCAGGTCTCCATTCACCTCTATTAAATATTGCAGCGACGGGAACGGGCCCCTGTGCACCATTCGCAGTAGCAACATGTGATCCATCCGGTGACCAACTAGGTAAAAATAAATAAACATTGATTAACTTCAAAGAAGCAAACAATTTTATCAACGAAAAAAAATTACCTTAACCGACGGTAAAATGTCGTTGTGGGTGAACTTGCATAAGGTTCACTGATTTCGGCTTGGATTTTCCAATCTGATGTTCTCCAAACTTTGACA